CCCCAAAACCCCAAAACCCCAAAACCCCAAAACCCCAAAACCCCATGGGGAGGAATTATTATTGAAAATGGAAACGGAAAATTCTACGGGGGTCAAAGAAAAGAGAACAAGGAAATGTAGGGAAGAGGATAAGGAGACTACCAGGAGAAGAAAGAATAGAGAGAAGATGAAGAGATATAGGGTTAAGCTCAAAGCTCAGCAAGAAGATATGGAAGAAGAGAACGAGATCCTTAAAGTACAAGTTATACAATTGAATCAGCAAGTGGAAACTCTGACAAAGGAGAATGAAGAACTTAAAGCTAAACTTTCTTCAGCTAAAGCAGAAAATTTATCTACCAGTCAAGTATCTTATTTTAATGATTACTTTAGAGCACCAGCTTAGGATTCAGAAGTAACGAACGCTCAGCTTTCGAGAAGATAGACTCTATTTAAGGAATGATCCAATTTTTATAGAGCTACTAAAGAAGAAAGTTCATTTTGAAATTGAACTATCTCAAGAGAGCCAAGTAAGACAATATTTTAATTTTCCAGCAATAACCTTGTGTGAGAAGATCTTCAAGAGAGAAAACCATTTCTGGCAAAATACTCTTCCTAAATTAATCCAAAAGAATCCAGAAAAGGTTAAGTACACTCTAATGGAGCAGAATAAAGATATTGCAGATGTCTATGGAGCAGCAAGGATCGCCTTCTTAAAGAGCCAGTTTAGGAACATTATCCAGAGCGTGTTACCTTTTAATGCTATTGTAACCTTGCTTGCTTTTGATGAGTTTAAAATCGAAGATTGGACAAAAATTCAAGAGAAAATAATAGAACCAGCTCCAGATCATCCTGAATCCAAATCTCCACCTCCTCCTCAACAATCTCAGCTCTCAGAGCCAATAATGAAGTATTTCATGCTTCACGGTGAGAGTTTGCTACATAATCTTCGTGAGATCAGATCTTTGATGCAGACCTTGGTACCTTACTTTCTCCTAATTTCCCAGACTCCTTCTACTACTAATCCTCTCCAAGCCCTGACATATAGAGGCTAGAGCTTGAAGGACTCTGGATTTGGGATACAAGTAGTAACTGAGTTGATATAGATGACGATCAGAAATAAGTTGTTCAGAAGACTGAAGGAACTGAGTGATTTGTACAGGAAGTCAGAGTACAAGTATGACAAGAATGACCATATTGCTGCGAAAAATAAGTGGGATGAATATAAGGCTAAGGGGGTCGACTTGTTTCGTAAGTTAGGGGTTATGAGAGTGGTTCAGAGGATTTTTGAGGGTGTTATGTCTTTGGTGTCAATTTGTGTAGATATATGGAAGATAGCAAAGAAACAATCGGATTCTGAATACATATCTGATGCTGAAATGAGTGAATGGGAGGAGGAAGAAGCCTCGTTTAAAATTTAAAGATAGCCATTTCATCATTTAGTATTTCAATATACCTATTACCCTCTGGGGTTTTGGGGTTTTGGGGTTTTGGGGTTTTGGGG